TCTCCTGTGCTTTGTCTCTGTCGCCTGTCTTTGTCTCGCGCTCGTAATTGTACTTCATACGATTGTACAGAGAGCAGACAGGAAGCGACCAGTCTCGGTCTCGTAACTCTATCGCCTGCCTCGGTCGCTTGTCTCTGTCGCGTGCATCCAAATTGTACCTTTATATAACACTAGAAGGAAAATCACATATTTAAAATTCTCCGATGCCAGGGTAAAGGAATATAAATCCTAAAAGTTCAGGACATGTAAAACGATCTTCAGAAATTTCTGACGAATCACGTTTAATGATCTTTACAAACATTTATAGAGTATAAATATGGCTGTCTTCTGAATTGTTGTGTCGTGCAGTCTGATAGATACCGGCAGAAGTTTCAGGGGTCCTTACTGCCTCCATCATCAGGGAGATAAAACCTTAGCCGTGAGATGACTTCGCAGGCCAGTGTCATCGCAGTTGCAAAGTGGGCTCAGTTTTGTACAGTGGAATTCTAACTGGAAATGAATTCAGATTTGTATGGAATACCTCATGTTGGCCACGTGTACGCACATGTAGGACACGCGAGAGGAAACAAACATTTGATATATTATTCAGTTTCACACATGAGCTCAAGAGAGTGAACCGCTGTACGCAGAATGCTTACAGCCGACACAACATTTTTAACAAAGCGGAGATAAGTGGATTCCGTTTATTTGTCTAACTTCGTTTACACACATTAAAAATAGATCCTTCAAATGTACTCATTAGCACGCCTGTAAGCCGACTATAAATATCGTGCATCGTTTGGTGTTCGATATTTAACGTGGACGAAGGACACCTTATGAACCCGTCGTCGTCCATCGCAGTTTTCCCTAAACACTAGGCAACCCGCAACACTCAGTGGCACTGATGTAACAGTTACAAAAGGGCTAGCCGAAACCATCACTGCAAAATCAGATCTGATGTCGTTGTTGAGGAACATTATTACAATAGCAAAAAATCAATGTTGGCTTATGATGACCTTGGATACCATTCTTGGCTTTGTTATTCCTTTCGTGTAAGGGCAATCAAAGTCCACAGTTCTGTGGATCGACGAAGCACCTATTGGCGCCACTATCAGTCATGTGACAGGAAGAAAAACCTTTTGAATTTTAGTGACTCCAAAGAGTTTTTGGCCTCAAACACCATGGCCGTCATCCCGCACCCTCCTTAGCTCCGTGTGACTTCTTCCTCTTCCCAAAGATGAAAATTCAGCTAAAGGGAAGGAGATTTGAGACGATAGAAGAGATTCAGGCAGAATCGCAGATGGTGCTTGACAGGCTGACAAAGAAAGATTTCCAGGCTTGGCAGCGGCGCTGGGAGCGTTGTGTTCACTCCCAGGGGAACTACTTCGAGGGTGATGGATGAATTTAATACCTGAGATAAGTGTACGGGTTTTTATAGGCGCAGTCTTGAAACTTTCCGATCGCACCTCGTCACCCCTCCAATCTTTCCTTTCAATACAGCAATAAATAGTGACGTAGGTAATGGTATGTACTTCCGAAAGAGAAGGAAAGAGACAGGCGAAGAGAGAGATAAAGAAGGAGAGAGAGAAGTGGATAACCACAACTTGGTTTAACTGATGGGACAAGAGGACCCCTAAATTAAGTCCTTCAGAGGTCCTCAAAATATAGTCGGTCGGGCCTGGCAAAGTTCACTTCGACCAAGACCAAGAAATGTTATCGGCAGACAGCGGTCGGGGACGAAAGATATTCAAGGACACAATTAGGGTAATTCGGGTTCGCTATTCACGCCTATTAAGACAGCATAATCTCACTAACAGGTCACTATTAGGGTATGGAGGAACTTCGTAGTTCGCATCGGAGCACTTAGACGCCAATATAATGGCGACACTCAGAAGTACTCGTTCGCATTAATAAGGCCCACCAACTACCCCACTTCTCATCAATACTAGCATGATTAAATCAAGGAGGGTGAGGTGGGCGGGGCATGTAGCGGGCATGAGGACGATGAAACTTTCGTACACAATTTTGGTTTTAAAGTCTGAAAGAAAGATACGCAGAAGAGGGTAATATTAAAATGGGTAAGAACTTGTGGTCGGAAACCATCAAGAAGGCTTAGACATTGATGGGAGCATAATATTAAAATGAATCTTACGGCCCAAGATACGGTCTGAAAGCGAGATTTCGAAATACGAGGAATTCCAAGACACGTTTAATAACAACCAACTAATCAAGTGACCTTATTCCACGGAGCTAATTCGAAATGTCGGATTATTAATTTGGAAACCATCAGGTCTCTATGTTAATTGTTTGTGGCAATTTGTTCTGACGATGTGTTTACCAAGGCCAAACACAAGATGATTGTTGTGTTTTACTCGAGAGTGAAGTGGCTCCAGAGTTGGGTTTAAGTAAATCCCCACGGGGAGTCGTAGGAGAAGCAGCGCCAACCTCTAGTGGGCTGCAGGCAGTCACTTCTTAGCAGCGGGTTGGGGCCGCAGGGCGTCAAGGACAGACTGAAGAGATGGAAAGAAAGGCGAACTCAAATAATTCAAAAAGGAAGAAAGGAATGAAGAATATAATAAACAAGTTAAAAAAGAATGGGAGACGGGAAACGTCCTCAGCTGGGATCGAATCCAGGACATTTTTTATAAAATGTCTATCCTCATATGATCTCTTTCTGGTCTCAAGAAATAACCATGCCGAATTTGGTACAAATCGGTATACCTGTTCTCAAGGTTTTAGCGATTAAACACAAAAACCCACAATTCCAACTTCATGTGTAAGGTTGTTAAGCGAACTTCGGTTTTAAAGGGTTAAATGAATCTCTGGAATTTATTCGGCCGGCTGTTCGTATTTCGCACGACTGCATTATCAGCTTAAGCTCCACAAAGCTTAATCCACAAGAGAGACGCTTCGCTATTTGTAAAGTAAATATTATAATGGAAAGAGAAAAGAATATAGAAGGGAAATATTGTGGTTTCCATAACTTTGCTTTCGTTCCTTGCAAAAATTGCATCTATCGAATGCATTATGGGTACCTAAAACATCCCCATTTCAATATTTAACCCCAGAAACTACTATAAGAATTTCGATTAAATTTAGTGCTGCAGTTAACATGGAATGTGGAAGATATTAAATTAATTCTAATAATGTCAAACTGTGATTTAATACTGAATACTTTCTCCTGGTGTCCTAAAAATTCAGTATCATGTACAGGGGAACAAATTACCATCGGTGTACTAACGCAGCGTAGTGATTAATGAATAATCAATTAAAATATGACGTAGGAAGGAGCGGTTGTGGCCCACTTTAAGGTATTCATGCTTCAAGGGTATTCATCAATGTTTTAGTCGTGGCCGCCCGGCTTGTAGAAGATGGCTGTGTCCGTCTGCGCAGTGGACTTTGTTAAATAGACCGCGCATTCACAGGACACCGGCCACGTCTAAAAAATAGGACTGTACTTTGACAGAGAAACACTAAGTAAGAGGAAAATATATACAATAGAAACGAAGACAAAACAACGAGAACTTAAGGACAAAAAATATCTTCGTTCGATAGCTGCTCTGAAAGCAGCTCTCCCGTTTCCGTTCACCAAATGCGCTTTCTTACATTCCGACTCTGGATTTCCATTATTACTTAGCGCGAAGTAATTACGTTCTATGTTTTACATGCATTGGAATGTCACATCTCGTACAAGGTTAAATTAAAACAGAACTGTGTGGTTAAAGCCGAGAAGCGTTCAAAAGAAATTCTCCCACGGACGAAGTTCGGTTTCCTTTCTGGAAGACGCTTGGCTGTCAAATGTTCTTTACTGGAGCTGAATAATGAGAATCCAGATAATGAAACTGGGGCAAATCGGCACTGCAGCGGAACACGGCAAGAAGGAATACTAAAGGGGACGACCGGGTGTTCAGAAAGAAGATTACTTATGATCATTTTATTAGAAACCCGTGGGGGCTGTTCCTTTTTCTGACTGGGAGCAAAATCATCGATATCCCGGATTCACCCGCGGGAAAAAAAAATTCCTGACAATAATCTGACGTCTGTAATCCGACCATGG